TTCGTTCTCTTGGCTGTCCATGGGATGTCCAGTGTTCTTCTCCAACACCCCAGCTCAAAGGTGTCAATTTCTTTGCGATCATCCTTATTCATTGTCCAGGTCTCAGATGTACAGCAGTGATTGGATTGAATGATCACTCTCCTAAAATAAGTGTTGACTTGGCTAGGCCCGGCTTCTTAGCAGTTTATGTAATCAATCCTATTGTGATCTGCCCACTGCCTATATAAGGGAGTTAGGATGGAGTGAGACACCTTTAATAAGGTCATGGCCCTGATAAAGGGAGTTTCCTTGGGCTGTGACTAGCATCACCATTTATATTATAAGAGAGAAAAGGAAAGAAAATCTAACATAGAAAAAGGGACCTCAGAATTATCAAGAAAGAAGGGCTAGAAGCATAGTACGTCCTTGGGACTGAGGGAGGGACCCTCCACTGTGAAACTTTCAGATCCAAGGGTCTTCATGCCAAGACACATGGAGATGTCTCTGGGGATCTTCAAGGAGCATTAGACTCACAGACGTTGCAAGAAGTTAAGGACCTTCTCTCAGAGCCGAGAGAGAAGCCTTTCTTAGAGTTAGTGCCCAATATTCGGACTTCCATTCTTTTAAACTGTGAGAGAATCCATTTGGCTGTTAACCCCATCAGTCTGTGGCATTTCTGCTATAACAGGACTAGCTGACCACGACAGATGGTGTCTGGGGCGAGTCTTCCTCCCACCACATGCTTGCGGCCCAGACTTCCTGAAGCTTATCTAGAGCTTGGGAGCCACGGCCTTTATATAATGCTGATATTCTGTCTATCACTCCATCCGCCTCTGGGAAGTCATCCTGACATGTTCTCAGGAGTGACCAGATACCTCACTGGGGAGGGTCTTGGTAAGGGATACAAAACTCAAAACTCATAGTAATCTTACAGGACAGAACTGTTGTTGTTGTTATGTGCCGTCTAGTCACTTGCGACTCATAGTGACCCTATGTACAACAGCCCTAAACCCTGCTCTGTCCTGTGCCAGTTGCACTGTCTCTGACACTCCCATCCTGATTACCCCAGTCACTGAATCAATCCACCTCATAGAGAGTCTTCCCTTCCTGTGCTGTCCCTCCACCCTCCCAAGCATGATGTCCTTCTCCAAGGACTGGTTCCTCCTTGCAACATGTCCAAAGTATGTCAGATGAAGCCTCAGAATCCTTGACTCCAGGGAGCAGCCTGGTTTAACCCTTTCCAGGATGAATCTGTTTGTTTTCCTAGCAGTCCATGGTACCCTCAATACTCTTCTCCAGCACCACAGCGCAAAGGCATCC